TTAGGGTTGTCAAATTTCCCCACCTTTGTTCAACTTCGTCCTGGACTCTATCATGGAGTGTTCCCTTGTGGAAACTTACGATGCAGATGTTGAGGTGCTGCTTGGTGAAAGGCTAGTTGATTTTGATTATGCGAACGATATTGCCCTGCTTTTTAACGAAGTTGGGGTGGCCCAATCAACCCTGAATAGGCTCTCGAAAGTGGTCCCATTATTTGGCTTGTGATTCGCATCGTCAAAGTGTTGTTATAAGACCACCAGCCGCTTGATGACCCCTAGACTCTTGATAGCGAGGAACTACAGGTAGTTGATCATTTCTTTTAACTTGGCATCCACATCAGCAACGATGGGCGCATAAGCACTGTCAGTTCACGAATTGAAAAAAGCTAAACTGTCTTCTAGAGTCTGCGACGTTTGTGGCGCCAGAAAGGTAGTCTTTACAAGGCCACAGTGAGACCCGTTCTACACTATGGAAGTGAGACGGCTTCTTCGATCTGAGGACCTGCGGCGCCTTCTAGTCTTTGGCCATCCTTGTCTGCGTAGCATCGCTGGTGTCGGGTGGCACCAGCGTGTCCACAACGATGATATGCGTAGGCGAGTACTAGGCAGTGATAACCAAGCGTTCCTTGGAACAACAGATAGCACTTAATCAGTTGTGTTGGCTTGGACACGTACTAGGTATCTCTGGTCACCGCTTACCGAGGAGGGCCTTGTTTTGTCTGCCAGATGTAGGGAGCCGCAAGGTTCGAGGTGGACAAAAGTTGGCTTGGCAGCGGGAAATGAAGTCACTGACGATGAAACTCGGTGCCGTCCCGCCTTCCAGGCTGGAGTCCACGTGACTCGCCTTGTGCTTGGATCGAAGCTCATAGTCATCATCAGTGACGTATCTACTGTCGTTTTCTAGTCTGTCTGTTTAAAGTGTGTTTGGTGCTGAGTTATCTTCGGAGTAATAGCTGATTATGACGCAGGGCAGTGAAAGCCATCCTGAAGCTGTCTCGCTAATTCCGCCTAGTATTTGTATACTAGCTAGCTGTATGTGGCGGTATGTCGTTGATACAAGGTGTAGGCGTCTTTACCCTGAATGTATGCTTAGGGCATTAAGGTTTTACGATAAGTCCCTCTTCTCTCCCACATATTATTTTTCGTTCCGTAGGTCATCATGGTTATACGGCAGCGAAGCATCTGTTCAAATGGGTGATACACTGCTGCTGCTGATGCTAGCCTCATACAAACAAGTAGATATCCAGTTAGCCAGATAAGCACCTTAAATGGCTATCGGGTTAAGCGTAGACCGTATTAATATGGAAAATAGAACTAGTAGATCTATAGCTGTGTTTCTCCATCGTAGTTAGATCGCGCACGTGCGCAGAAGCACGTCACTGATTTCCGCGCGTTTGTAGCATATTACAGCTGCGCCATATGCTATTCGGGTGCAATGCGCGCCCTAAATCTGTAATTCGCAAACTGGGTGTCTAGAAAGTGTTTGAATTCCGACACCGATTTCGCTTCGACTATTTTCTCGGGCAAAAGGTTCCAATAGTCCACCACTCGCCGTTCGAGGCATAGAGGATGGGCTACACGTTTCAGATCTGGCATTACGAGCTTGTACCGGTGTCCGCGAGTACTGCTTAGTGCGCGCACGTGCAGCAGTGGCCACAGCAGGGGGAAGCGACCCAGGTGCAATATCCGATGCGTCAATATGAGGTTCACTCGAAACCGACGATACGACAGCGTGTACAACCTTAGTCGTCCGCATCGGTCCTCGTACGATATAACCTGTAAATTGGGGATGAGTTTGGTAGCATGAATTAATAGTGCGAACGAGTATGAGATGATAGAAACCCACTGAGAAACAGCTAACCTTAGTCGAGTGCTACTGTATGTAGCCGTATAGCAATTGTTATGAGGTCACCACATGGTTGGTAGAGTCCATTTCCGAATTTGACCGTCTGCGTGATTTCAAACAGTCACAGAACACCCGCAGTTGGAGAAAAATCGGGGCTGGTTCGTGTTGTACCACCCATCACACATCGATTGGAGAAACGATTGATTCAGAGTGGACCCACACTTCTGTAACACGCACAGTACCAATGTAAGAGCTGAGAAAACCTGCATACCAGGCATACACAGCGCGGTTGTCTGACCATCTGACCAATTCTTTAAGTATGGCACTGTCAAGAACACTGTGCACTCCGCCTCCCTCTCCAAAGAAACCAGAGTCAGTCCAATTGGGGTGGTGGTCCAGTTGGCGGCATCGTATGGACAGGCAGTCTGCCAGTGTTCACGTCGGGTGCAGCCAAACCTGACAAACCATTTGGGAGCGAACTTCAGACGCACCCCAGTCAAATCACTTCAGTTTGATTGAACAGCGGAGATTCGTGAGTCATGATGCGGTGCATCCATCTGCTTTGAGACACTTCGCCAAGTTAATGATAATGCAATCAAACATAGGTATGTGGTAACTCTTCACCCAGCATGTGCAATTATATACAAAGCAAAGGGTTTGTCAGACTACTGAAATAGTTAAAGGTGTGCTGGAGAATTGCTGTACATCAAATGATGATCTCAGCCTGTACCCCATTTCACTGAGTAGGGGTTGCGAGTCGATCGGATCAAGGCACAAAGCTACCACAACTATACTTTCCCTCAGTTAATTGCATCCGGAGCGCTTTCGAAGTCCTCCTTAGGGAAATCATGTTTTCCCATAGATCTCTCAGAACGGTCCTTATGTGCATCCAGAGGGCGAGAATGCCCCTAAATGCTACTGTTCATCGAGTGACCAATCTTGAATCGACCAATAGCATCCCACACTGTGTACTCATCTGTTATACTATCGGCTTATTTGGGGTTGGTCACTCAGCGAGCAGTACGGATATTTTAAGAGCGTTTGCGCCCAGTGGATGGAATTTGATAGCGTTAAGGAGTGGCTAAATATTCACTCTTCACGGGTGCATAAAGCGCATTGCAGACTTGAAAAAAGAAGAAACTTTGAAATCTATGGAGAAACATGATTTCCTTTGAGGAGGACTCTGAAGGCGCTACGAGTGCAATTGGGTGAAAAAATTATAAACTGAATAGCACACACTGAGTAAATCTCGCCGCCCTTCAGATTGTACAAACCTGCCTGTACTTGCGCCGTTAACCTGAAGTTGCAGAGGCAGAGTCTCAAGTGAGCACCTTGGCGGCAAAGCACATACCTGGATTATCCCGAATGTTCCATATCAAACGATTTTGAGCTATTGAGTAATCGCTAAGTGTATGGCAAACGGGCAGCATTGTTCTCAAGAAAGAAATCCCATAGTGATCATTGCTCGGTTTGGGGCTGACGTAACACGTAGAGTTATGTTACTTCAGTAAGGCTTAAATTGAGTGACAGATATGCGTTGAAAGGAATCCCCGACGAATATGACAGGTACTGTAGGGATGGACGGGAATGTTGTCCCTACGAATATTGCCTCAAAGGGACTGCGAATCGTTGTTGGTAGAGATGAAATGCGCAGTCTTCGTGGTCGTGTCAGAGCGAATAAACGAGTCCACGATGGAATGGGTCACGAGCCAATTAATGACTCTTGCGTAGGTCCCGTGTATATGCTATGCTGGATTTCGTGCAATTAAGGAGTTGGAATGAACCCAGGAATTTAGTGATCTACCATGCGAAGGTGATTTCCTGAGGTGCAGCAACACCTAAAAATTTACGGGAACCTGAGGGTAAGGTTAGCTTTGAAACTATCCCTGTTCCGATCCGCATGAAACTCAGACCTAGTTCGTCTGACTGGCACTGACAAGCGGCATGTGAGGGTAGAGCTGTGGATGACACAGTGCAAACCGTGTGTGGCCTTAATATAGGCGCGCACGGGCGGACCACAGTCGTTTGCAGTCAGAAAGACAGGCAGAAACTCGGAAGCAAGTGCGACAACCTTGAGATGGTAAGGTTGGGACAAACTTGCAGGATGAAGTAATTTCAGACACGGAAGTGAGGATATTCCAAGAACGAAGATGTGAAATGGGTGAAAACATGGCTTTCGCTGACAAAATGGCCACTGAGACTCTCTGAGCACGCATTAACTGAAATGCGAATCGTCAATCGGTCCTAGAGGCCAAGGAATATGAAAGGTATTTGGGACTTGCTCCGATCACAGTAATACACAGACACAGTGGTTGTGAGCACCGTCCAGAAAGGGAGCATCGGAGGTGTAGTGGTGCAGCTATTAGGCTTGCAATCTCTACGCTCGTACTTGCATCGGTTTGGATGCCCCTGTAGCAACCCAGCCGTGTCCAACCGTTTGTGGTTGCTTAGCAAGAAAGGAGCAGTTTAATGCTGACGGCAGGAAAAGAGCATCGCGTCTCATGCAAGGGAATGCATCTGTGTTCTCGGTAAACTGACGGTAGGATTAGTTCAGTTGAGCAACTATGATCCAGGCGCTGAAGTGCGGTGGACCTTGTTGTTACCACTCAGGCCACCAGAAAAACAATAACTAACAACAGCAAGAAAGTGAGGTCGATTGCAAACGGAATACGAAAAGTGGAATCAAGAGAGAAAAGCGCAGAATTAAGCAGGAAGAGTGGAAATTAACATCTAAATGCGAGAAACCGAATGTAGGAATGCCACTGACTGCGCGACTACGCTATGTTTGATAGGGTCTCCAATCAATGAGGTGGACCATCCCGGGGCCCCCACCCACGAAGACGGAGCGCACCAGCCTGACGAAGTCTCTTAGTCAATTTCTTCATGACTTTGTGCCATGTCATCGGATAACCACCTCGCGGTTCCGCCCAACTCGGTGCAGCCAAGGCATTTAATGCGCGCCAAAGAAGTCGGTCAAGGGGAATGAGAGCATAGCTTAGCCAACGGCAACATCACCGGTGTGTTAGATTCGATTTGGAGTGTAACACGTGCCTCACGACAGTCGAAGGAAGTGCGTGAACGGGACTAAGTCCAGCAAATATCAACTATGCGTACCAAATCCAAGCCGTGAAGATATCAGATATCATTAATGGCTTACATAAACTCGATGTCCGAGGACAGAGGCCCGTGAGTGACCCAGCTTGCCCTTGCAAGCGCCGACATCGTAGTGATGCAGCAGAAAGTCGTTCTGGAAAAAAAGGAAGATGGTGTGGAGAATGGAGAACCCAAGCGACATTGATAATGGCGAAAGCTTCGGCTAACAATCTCTCAAACCAAGCGCTCTGAAAATACTTAGATGAGCGACATATGCGGTTAAAAAATAGAATAAACGCTAGACAGAAGTCGCGCAAACAAACAGGATTGATGCGTACAAATACACTAGACAACGCACGTACACAACGCCTGATTTAGGCGTGCAAAAAATGCAAAACGCAGACAGTCTGAACCAGACGAACAGTTCTTAAAAGACTGACTAGACAGTTCACTGTGATTCCAAAGGTAAAATACGAGTTTCTCGACTGTAAAAAAGTGTGTGTGTGTGTGTGCAGGGATGCCACGGATTCCTGTCGAAAAAACTTCGCGATTGAAGGAATGGTGTGGGCTGTCGCGATACGATATGCATAACGCACACAAGCCACACTACACCGTAGTACACACGGCTTCAAACGAGCATCAGTTATACAGATTAGCTGCCAGATGACCAGAAATCACTCGCGCTACACACCAAAAAAAGTTGCACATTCAGATGGAATGCTAATGAGATGTGAGGGCGGAGTGATAACTGCATCCAGGGAAGAGCAGCCGAGCGATCGTAGAAGTAGGTGATGCGTTTGCACCTCGACAAACAGCCAACCCGTCGTCTATAAAGGCGTCAGCAGTACGCTGGTGCGCAGCACAGACACATCGCCACTACGCCACCAGCACAAGTCGAGCGTGAGCTAGCGGTATTGAGAGCTCAACCATCACACGCAGACTCGAACTGGCGACGTTTGGGTTACAAGTATATACCCCATTCATTCGGACACGTGCATTTGCGTCGTTAACAACACGGCTATCGCTGCACGGATCGCAAACCGTTAGCTTGCCTCATCGGTTCGCTGCGCAACAGCAATGACCCAAAGGAAAGGCGAGCAGTCAAAAAAATAGGAAAATACTGAGGGGCCGAAAGAGAAAACGTCGTCAAGGAACGCTTGGAAGCAATATGATAGCGAGGACTCGCTACTCACGTAGACAGGAGAGAATGCGTGAGGACCAGCTAGCTTCTTGTCGATGCTAGTACATTTGGTCACAAGCGAACTTAACGAGGTGATACAGACAGTAATCAAATAAGGTGGAGAAGCATTAATAAATGATGACACGTAGTGTAGTTCGGAGACAGGAGGATCGAGAAAGGCGAACACTTGATTGGTCTATGAACCGGATTGAGCATTAAAGTAGGTTGATATGCATGGCGTCTTTGTACGCACTATAGTTCAATGAGCAGAGCTCTGTCTTATTCAACTGCGCAACTATGACCATCCATCCAGACCGTGTCGTGATGCCGGTCGCAGAAGCCCGTTTACTGACAACATACATAACACATAACCCGTAAATCAGAGCCTGATGTGTGAAGCAACGATGCTGAGTGGTCCAGTAGCTCTTCCCGGTTCAAAAATGGGTGCTGAACACATTCACCGCTCCGAAGGTGTTTCTACCAGATATGAGCTTAATTGCGACAGCACCGGTGTTCGAATTCAAATAACCTCTTTACGACTGTCGATCTAATGGGTCAAGTTTCCAAGCCGTACAGGAGGGCTGAACGGATGACGACACTAGAGACTCTAACCCCTTCAGGCAAGAGTGAAGTCGCGCAGGCACAAGAGATAGAACCGATGGATCTCAGAAAGAAATCACCCATGCCGCCAGGACACTTATGAAAGCCGAGAAGAATTACAGGCAGATGAAGAAAAAAGCGTTGGCAATAGTGTTCGCCGTGAAGAAATTCCACAAAATGTTGTACGGCCGCCGTTTCAAGCTGCTGACAGATCACAAGCCCTTGTTGGATCGAAAAAGGGTATCCCGACCTACACAGTTAACCGACTACAACGCTGGGCTCTTACCTTAAGGGGGTATAATTTCGAGATCCACTACCAGTCGACAATTTCCATTGACCAAGCGGATGCACTGTCACGCCTAATTGATGCCCACCAGCAAGAACATGAAGACACAATCATTGCCTCGGCCGAGATCGAATCTGACGTCAACTACCTGGTGAGTGATGCATTGCACGATCTACCAGTTACCGCAGAAGCTGTACGAACCGAAACGCTCCGGGACCCAGTACTCAAGAAAGTCACACAGTTCCACAAAACAAGTTGGCCACGTTTATGCTCATCTGCCGAGTTGCAACAGTGCTACCAGAGGAGACATTCGCTCTCCACTGTGAACGACTGTTTACTATTTTCGGAATAATCATCCCCAAGGCTCTTCAAGAGCGTGTTATTCGGCAGTTCCATGCCAATATGCTGGGATCAAGCGTATGAAGACGCTTGCCCGCAGCTATGTATACTGGCCCTTCATGAACAAACAGCTAAAACTACTAGCTAAACGATGCCAAAAGTGCGCCAATGTCTTAAAAGCGCCACAAAAGGCGGATCGCCATTCATGGCCAAAAGCTACTAAACCATGGTGCCGCATCCATGTCGACTTCGCATGAGCGATTAACGGCCAAAGTTTTCTCCTTATAGTCGACTCATACAGCAAGTGGCCTGAAGTATTTCTCATGAATAATAATAATAATAATAATAATAATAATAATGTGTCAGCTGTACGCCGTAACGGCGCTTCGCTGCCGCGCGACCACCACCAGTCGCGCGCGAGCTGAGTATACCGCGAGGACGCCCACCCCTACGCGGATTCGAACCGGTGACCTTATGGTTGCAAAGCAAACGTGCAGACCACTCGGCCACCGGCCGACTTCCCATGAATAGCAAAACCACCAATGCTACTGTATCAATACTGCGTCAAACCCACAACAGATTCGGCTGTCCAAAGACAACTGTAACTGACAATGGCACACAATTCACTTCGGCAACATTTACGGAGTTCTGCAAGCAATCCGCCGTCCAGCACATTCGCTCGCCACCGTTTCACCCACAGTCGAATGGTCAGACAGAAGGGTTTGTGGATACGTTCAAGCGAGCTCTCCACAAATCAAAATGGGAGGGACGTATAGAGGAGGTGGTTGACTGGTTCCTTTTCCTCTACAGATCAACACTGAATTCACAAGCGCCGGACGGAGTTTCTCCAGCACAGGTTATGATGAACCGGAAGCTCCGCATGCCTTTCGATGCCACCAGAACGTACTCGAAATCCTCTGCTGGTGAAAGAAACCGCCGGATGGAACAAGAATTTAACCGGTGGCATGGAGCAAAGAAACGATCGTTTACACTTGGATAGAAAGTGCTAGTACGTGACTATCGGGAAGGCCACGCGAAATGGACACCAAGGACGGTCAAAAACGAGCGCGGAAATGCCGTGGATGCCGTGATCGTGGGCGCACAGATCTGGGCACGGCATGCAAACCAGTTACGGCCAATACTTTGCTAACCAGAACCAGCGAGGTCTACTGACCTCCGGTTCGACTTATTGGTGGAAATCTCCAACTTGCCAAAGTAATCCGTGGACGACTGCTCACAGTCGAGCGAGGAAACTAGATTACAGACGTCGGAACCCACTTCTCGAGCAGTTCAGCCAAGGAGATAGACCGACAGGCAGAGAACAACGTCCAGAAGACTGCACGTTAATCCCAGAAATTCATCATACAACGCGGATGTCATCTCAGGAGGAAAAGGTGTCCAGGAGAAGTTAAGCATACTCCGGACAATTCATTATTTCAGCGATTAATCGGTTGTTACCGATTATTGCATCAATTTCGAACGTTCTGGAAAATGCCAAGGCCTGCACGTGACTAACAACCTCCTGTAGATCGACTAAAGCTATGTGCAACAATTAACCTTGGCGGTTGACCTTCCTATTCCAAAAGTCGAAGGTCAGTAAGAAACCGATAAATACAACCAAGGTCTGCTTCAGTTATACAGTGTTTCCTTAAAGGTGGTTAATACGTTATCTTGACAAGGTCATTGGCGTTCTGACTTTTCCTTCGGTTGGGCCAGAAGTTTCGCGGAGCAGTAAAGTACCTATTTCGGTACGGAATCAGAACATCCGGTTTCACCAATTACGTCATTGCTAGTGTGGCTAGTGTAAGTGAACTGTCTCGCTATCAAGTGATCATAAAGTAACTGATGATCCGACAACAGCATTTTGTACGTTGAAGGCGCGAAGTGCATGCCAAGAACTGGGACCACCCCAAACAGTACATCCAGTAGTTACTGTGCCATCTAATGAGTGTCAGGCAGCAGGGTGATATTGTCCACATAAACCAGAGTGAAACCTTTCCCCCTAGACAGAACTTCGACATCCGCGTGGTGGAATTTCACAGAAGAACCTTTCATGATGGGGTGTATAATAATAAAGTTGGGAAAAAAGGGAAATGAGGCAAACCCAACGGAAGCCACTGGTTGTCAAGACAACATACGACAATGCACAACCTAAGATGCTCTAGTAAATGACACGTAAAATGTTCAAAAATCTAATGAAAACATCATGAAAGTATATCTGTTAACACATCGTTTAGCTAGAGTCCACATTAAATTATGAGGAATTGGAATATAGTGAGGGGCATCAGCTTAACTGCAGCAGATGGTAAGTAAATTCATTGCTACACCTCGAGGAAGCCCAACAGTCGTCATGATTAAATAATGAATAAGCATAGACTAACCCAACTGTAGAGAATATTTATAGAGGTGTGTAATCTCACCGGTAAATGAGATGCTACCGGGTTGCCTGGGCCAAAGTAGAGAGCTGTCTTAGGGAACCGTCACTCGGAGAGTTTGGTCAAGAGGCCTAGCCTATAAGTTTGCACAGTGAGATGGTGGACTTTCACACGTTGAAAGCCGGTGATCGAATAATCAGTTCATATGCCATTCGTATGGCTATCAGCCATACCATGGACCCGTTGGCAATGATCTTATTTGGTGGTGAGTCACACGCACTACGTCACAGTGTTTTCAAGCTGCTTGGGTGGCTTTTTATAGATAGAACACTAGCTAAGTGACAACCCACGGCGCTATCCGGCACAACCACTGAATTGTCAAAGACTGCCTATTCATCTCAATGGGAAACATATGAATTACCATCACAAGGAAGGAATCCTTCAATCCGCAACCCTAGGGTCGCGCGCACGGCAGCGTATAGATCGACTACGGCCGAAAAGCCACTCTCGACAATAATTCACAAATGTGATACGTGAACAGGAGATGATTGTTCACGATAAAAACATGCAAACACCGATATGCTTTTCCTTATGACGTGTTGTTAAAACGCAAGATGTGGTGGTGGTGTAGTACGAGAACTCGCTTTCGCGCAAGTGGTCATCACCGTGATGTGCACTCACGGAAATTTTGCTGTGGACTGAGGATACAGGTACTGGAGATGTCCAGCCGTGCTCAACTTCAGGATACAAAGAAAAGCGTTGGGCTATTCACAAAAAAACCATGGGTGTACATTTAACGAATAGGAAGGGAGTAAAACCCATCGACTGATTGTATTCACATCTGGCAGTAGAAGGTGAGCTGCGATTTCGGGTAGGTAGCGCTACAGCAGTGTATGACAAGAACCATGAATTGCATATAACGGCGAAAGAGCATGCATCAACGGAGAAAAAAGAAGTAAAACCTGTGTAACTCTATCGAAATTTGACCGTAAACATTAAAATGTCGTAGTCAGTTATCAATACATTAATCGCTCGTCATGTTCTAGTGTGACGTAGTAAAAGTACACATGTTACAGTAAAAAAAGAATTCGCAGATGTGAGATGTCGGCGGGGAAACGTTCGCAGAATCAAACACTTGTCGGTTTGTGATCAACGTACGCAGCTCCATGATAAAAGAGCGGAAGCCACCAAAGTTAATTCTCAGTAGACTGCGTTCGCAGGTGTGCAAAATATTAAGTCAGAGAAACACGCACAGCTAGTTCTGAATCTTCCTAAGTAGAGCGCCGCGGACCTGAGCATATCGTAAAGAGAAATCAATCAAACCTCTGAGATTCTTATGAAGTAGAGCAACAAGTTAGTGGCTCCAAGAGGAGGCCTCTAAGCAAGCAGTCACTTATTCTACGGCCTAGTTGGTAAGGATGTTGAGTCTGGAACAAAATTCCTTCATCAAAACGAGAAATTGGAGATTGTCATTGGTAGACAAGACACAGTCGCCAGTGACAATCTATCCTTCTGTCTCCCAATTCAAGCACCCACCACTAATGAGATTATCAGCTAGGCTAACAGAGAAGCAATATCTTCCAAATCTGAGATACCATTTCATATAGCATCTTTGGGTTGCGGAGCTCGTACAGTTCCGCCAAAAGCTGCACAGAGCTCGCCTGGGCCAGCCTCCCTAGCAAATTCAGCAATACTGTCCCCATGTAAAAAGTTATACTGTGCAGGTTACAACTGTGATCAAAGTGACTTCCTTGTTGTCATTTCATTGATTCATCCCAGCAATTCAAGGGCCTGACTGTCCAACTACCAATGCGGAAAAGTACCAGACGGCCGCTTCGCCCCGCTGCTGTATGTCAACACAAGCTGCACAGAGTACAACTAAAGCTCTTATCAAAGATACTTACCCGCGCAGACTTCTGAGCTCAGTTCAGTTAGAAGACCACTACGCGGCAACTCATAGCCGTATTGACACTGATCTTTCTCCATAGCTCATGCCATATACTGCTATGGTATCGCGTTATAAATACGAGGGTGTAGAAGGCGTCTTGTTTGGCGGAGTGTGTAAACGAAAGCTTGCAATCGACTTGTCTTTCTGAGTCTTAAGTGCTATGTCAGGGGAGTTACCCTTTCGTTTCCAGTCTCAGCTCGTACGTGCAAACGACTGGCAGCTAGACCTGTTGGGCCGTGCCCATTAAATTCCATTGGTTGATCTGCGTTTGGGGTACTACTAGCGAAAAGCGATACGTCCGTTCCGAGTAGAAGAGTTGAAACAACTAGAACGTGTGTACGGTGTCGTATCGGTTAGTAAACGGCACCAATTATGCCCTTACACTCCCTTAAATTTCATCTATGCAGTATCTCTCTTAAAAGTACGCAAGACACCAGCGCCTCAAGGCATCTATGTTCGCCAGACTCAAGTTCCAATGGCAGGATCTGCGTACTTCGCGTCTCCAGTGATGCAGAATTTACGGTGCCGGAGTCGCTTCTGGTGAACGCCAGATGCTGTGGTGTTTAAAAAGACCCCAGTGAGCAGCTATATATCTGCTATTCGATTTCGAAGCTCCAGTAAAGTTATTAAGCAGAGTTCGGAAGCAGAATGTTTACTTAGTATTTCGGTCTCTGCTCTCAGTGACGCCATTCAAGAATCCGTCAAAAACAAATTCTATCAGAAGCCCGATACTTCTCAAAAGCATTAAATAAACACTCGAAGTGGCCGATGGGTTTACTTACCTAGATAGCTGCATCACTACATGCAGTGTATGTCTTGTGTGGTCTACTGAGGTCTCCACCACGAGAAAACAGGGGGAAAAGTTAAATGGTTAAAGGGAGAGTCTCCAAAGCCGAAGTGCAACCGGTATGGACCAGAGAGCTGGTCACAACGCGCTGAAAACTCGAACAGATTGGCTGTGTTGGTGCATCGATGCTTGAGAAGTAGTGCTCATATCCGATGGAAGAACCGAATGATAGATTCCAAAAAGATGATCATGTGGCGTTTGTAGACAAGTACACTGGCATGAGCAGTACGCCGGCACCCTGCAGCGACGCTACGCTGCTCCGCGCGACCAATAACAATCGCGTTAAGGTTGGCACGCCGCGACGTCCAACCGCACTTACGTGGATTCGAACCAGCGACCTCCGGATTACAACGCAAGCGCGCAATCTATTTGGTTACCAGCCGATAGTGATATACTGAAGTGTCTGTCGAACTCGAACCACCAACCTTGGCTGTCATGCGCCTCGCGTACGTCTTAACCGGTGATCTTGCTGCGTATTACCTCAGAATTCTGCAACTGATGGAGCAAAAGTCCGAAACAGCGAGTCAGTGACGCGGCACAGAAGAATTCACCGAAAGAATAAGTAGGGTTGGTCCCTGTCGTCTTTACAGACCGATCACTGGGGAGCAACAGTAAGCCTCTGAACAACCAATCTGAGATGGCGCAATAGAGAAGTCAGTGGTTCCGTTGCATTCGTTCCTTTATTCCAGCTTTATAATTTCTTTACCTGATAAGTTAACATTCTTATCCATTCCCCTGAAGTAACAATGGTTACTTTTACTGTTACCACTTCCAATATAAAATTTTGGTGCTGTGAGCCGGAACCTACTTTTGCATTCGGATCATTGCTGATCCACTGTAAAGGACACGTAGCTACCAATTAACGTAGGCGCTTCGTCCCTGTATTGTTTTTGCCACCAAAGAACTATACCACACAAAAGCAAGGATTTGATTCATCTCCTCTGCGAGGAGTGAACCGCTTTTCTCCAGGAAAGGAGCGATAGATGAGATTGCAACACAGAAGGGTATATCATGCAGTTCGAGCTGGTAACTAGCACAAAGAAGAATGAACAAACTACAACCAAGGAAAATGAAACTCACGTCCAATGAGGCGAGGCAGTGCCAACAAAAAGTGTGTCTGCAAGAACGACACATCATTTGAGCACAGCCGTCAACACGTTCGATTGGAACGAGGCAGGCAGGGCACCGCTTTAACCAGGCGTCCGGAGGATAGGGGGGAAACCCAACGGCGAACACAGACAAATCGACCAGGGCAGAGTCACTCATCTTTGCAGACAGGGCACCCAGTTTGCCTCCACTCGATCGCTTGCCGGTTCGCATGCGTTCGGATCTGCGTGTTATAAGCCGATGTGAGGTCGAGGCATGATCAAGTGAACCTCTGCGGTGTGACGCAGGGGAGGGAGTCCTCTTGCTCAATGTCCTACTGGAACGTGCGCGCCGTCGCTGGGAATCCGGTTGGCACCACGTCGGTCCGTTCTCATGCCAAGGCAAGTGGCAACGGCTACAAAATACATGGCCACAGGATGAACAGGAAACGCGTACAGAAGGTGGTGACTTGGGCGATAGCAGTTGATGGTCCAATGGAGGTGATGCCGGCTGAACCAGAAGACAAGAATAAAAAGTGGCTAAGCCGTACTCTATAAGTAGCGTCACGATGGATAAAGCTCAAAAGTGAAAAGATACAAAGTAGACAGAGGAGATCAAAGAGACATGTCTTACTGAACTGTAAGTAAGAGAGTAAGTGATAAACGGGGACCACAAGGGACGCATAACCTGGTGGAGACATCGACCTTATCCAAGTGTAGAGTGAACCTCGGCGGTGAGCCCGTCTAGTTTGTAAGAGGGTCGGTATCATGTGATTTACAGGCCTTTCCTCAAACTTTACCAAGTTTTGGACATCAAAAATGGGTTGTCCAAGGAAGAAAGTTTCCCGAAAGATTTACTCAAGAGGGCATCAACAGCACGTCGGCACACGGTACCGACGCTTCGAAGCCAAGCGAACACCATCAGTCGAGCGTTGACCGGGTACGCCGTGAGGTCAATGGCACCTACGCGGATTCGAACAGATGACCTCCGGAGTACATAACGCGCTCGTGATCCGTATGGTAACCGGCCGATAAACTTAAGAAGCAGTCGTTATCGGAAGAGTTAAGGCTATCAATCAGTATTGTATAGGCAGTATTGTGGCTGTTCAGACTGGCCGGGTAAAGACAGTCTGTCAAGCTCTACCCCGTCTGGTCTGCTTACACAGTTAGTGGCTTCGTGGATTTCTAACGCCGCAGCAATTAATTTTGACTTGGTGTCTTCACTCCTCATCTAATGATCTTTACATTGTCCTAGTAAATTTCGTGTCTCGAGTCTAGCGCGCGTAACGCTACCGCCGAAATTGTAGTAAAACCTTGCATTCAGACTCGTTCCTTGATGGACACGAAATATACCTCTTGTGTTCAGCTAACCTAGTGCGCAGTTCTATCAGTTTAGTCTTGGTAGACTTGCGCATAGCCTATGCAACTAATTTTATAGACACAGTTGCTCGTTTATCCTTCGGAAGTGGACGGTTCAAACGCATCAGTGCTGAACGGAGCGTTTGACCGCTTTGGAAAACCACTCTTAGCTCTTCCTTAGTTAGTAGCGGCCTAATCGCTTCAGAAATTTCCTCTTAATAAGGGATTCCCACCGTCTCAACCCACTCCGACTACGTCGTGAAAGTGGGTCGAGCGCTCCATGCGTTGTTCTCAAAGGCATTCAAAAACTCGGATTTCCCTTTAAAGTCAAAAGGATTTGTGTCTATCCTACTCAGAAATTTTCTGCCAAGGTTCGAGAACTTTTCCTTTTTGACTTTATCGAATCACTGATGTTCTTTCCTCAAGTGTTAATGCCTTTCGCTTTGCTGATTTGAAACTAGCCATTTTGTCCTCGTAAGAATCTTCAAAATGAACTATGAAAACCAACACGGTTATTCAGTAAGGATGTAACTCAACAGTACCCACTCAGTGCTGACAACCGACTGGTTACACAATGAACAAATACACACAGAAAGTGCTAGTCACAGTAATTGCGATTGTACAACAGTATCACAAAACCCAGAGTGCGCGAGGGGAGTCCCACGGCTCATTTGTTGGGTAACATGGCTCTATCCGATTGGTTCACTGCATGGCGCATAGCGGGATACATGCGTTAGTTATATAGGGTGATATCAAGGGGGGGGGAATGTGTCACTGGACAAGTCTGGTATGAAGGCAGTGTGACACCTGGGGTGAGAATAAACCAGTGGTACTGGGGGAGTTACGAAACGTGAACTGCTCAATTGCGACAGCGGGGGTATCAACAAGTCTATGGGAACCGATTAGGGAGACACAGAAAGCGTAAATCTGAGCGAGAATGAATCAGTGCAGGGCATATAGTGTGGTTTCTAGGGTAATTATGACACTTTGAAACGAAATCTAAGCTATCTGTGCGATACGGTAGCAGACTTTCATGACGCCTCTACTCACAATCTCGGCAAGTCGTGATAGCGGTGGTCGCCTTGAGCATGTGCTAGAATGTCTGGGGATCACAAAGCGCTGTAGCGGTTGCGTTAGACAGGTGGACGACATAGACAGGTTAAGAACAAGAAAATATAGGAAAATCGTTTGGGGGATATCTCTGACTGTTCACCATGGAATATTAGACTCCAACATCCATGCGCGATTACTCGTTGCCACCTATGGGCATAGCCTTGCTGACGATCTTGTCTACTTGTTTGAGTGGAATAAGACAATCGTTGTTGACTTTGTGTGTCGATTACTATTACACATTACACGTCATGAAGTCGTCCGGCACCCCATGCTCTACACTCGTTTAATATGTATTGACTGATTTTTGACTGGTCACTCAGCGAACGGTATGCGCTCGTATGCGTGGGCACACACTGGATGTAAGTTAATTGCGGTGAGAATCATCTTGAGGGATTTGTGCAGGGACATTATTTCTATAAGGAGGAATTTCGTTGCCCCATTGATGCAATTGGTTAAGATAGGATGTTGACAATCGATCGAACCAGGAGTGTCGTACTGATTTCGTTGCTTAGGTTCCCGTGGTGCAATTCCCCAACTAGCTCGATGCCGTAATAAGCCAGTTTTTCTAGCATTTAATTTTCTTCCTCCTCAACATGTGTGTGCGTGCATCGGGAGTCAAAGCAACAATCACGATTATCACTCTGGCGTATCGCGTTCACAATCTTCCCAACAGCTAAGATCGTGATTACTACATCTAAACGGATTCAAGCGATCACTTTGCCACTGTTTGTACACAACAATCCTCACGCTCTTTCTTGGGCCACCTGTGTATCTCTTCTATCATTGGAACCTTGTGGCACCGGTCGTTTTTTATCTTTTGGTTTTATGAAGTAGTCTTCATGTTTTGTTGGACCACCGAGGGAGAAGCATTCACTTAGTGGCTCGAGCAGTTGGTTCACACCAAATGATTTGCGACGAACTTTCATATCGCTGACCTTTTCATAAAGACGGGCTGAAGTCTGCTCAAAAAGTGAACCATCTGTTACCTGACTTCAGTCGATGACGGGGTCGTCGGATTGCCGATGGGAGCTTCACTACTAAGCCAGCATCGTAAGGCTCGATCCCCATACGCATTTATTTCTCCCGCTGTTGTGTGTTGATGTTCGCTTTACAATGGTCTGCGGTGGCCCCGGTTCCGTTAGAGATTCTACCGACACGAGTTTCCTCAGGGTTCTGTGAGTCCTTGGGTAACACATTGTAATAGCCACCACGCTCGATGTCATCGTCACAGCCGGATTGTGGATTGTCTCGATCAACTTGTGCGGTCGCCTTGGACAGGTTCGACTGTAGGTGAGGTTGCTGTGCATAAAGGATTAGGCACTTGCCCGTCTAGATGAGATGTGCTGTCAGCGCGGTGTGTCTCCGTGCGCTATCATTGGTCAATGTGAGCAGCCCATGAGGCGTTAGAAATAGCGGAGTGTGAGGCATTGACAGTCTGAATGATCAGCTGACCATCCGCACATGGACTGCAATGCCCGGTGTGCACTAGATGAAGAGCAGTGCACATAAGCTTGAATTTTAGGTACACAAAGCTAATTCAGTGGTAAGAAACGTGGATGGGCAGCCAGTGCAGCGCCTTGGTTGCGCGCAGGCTGTCGAAACCACTAAACATAGATTCGCAAGAGCATGATGGTGTGTGGAACTAGGAAAAAATGAATCCGACCAAGTGCACACAGGATAGCCTGATAATGTTCCTAATGAAGGAGCCAAACAATCAGACCACCAACTGAACAACCTGAGCTACGCATGTTTGGTTCTATATCGCAGCGAAAAATTAAACAATAAATCCAGGAAATTAAATTAAGGAAAAAAGTAACTTAAGAGATGCGGTAAAAGATCGAATATGCAAATGTGAGGCACATACATATGGCAGCTGGTGGTGGGAGCGCGATGCAAAACAAACCACCGGACCGACCCTCCTCTTACACGGGCCCACTATATCGCGTTGATGAGGTGATCAAGATACCTTAGAAAGACAAGACAGTTCGTTGCGAGCGAGCACAGAAAATGCGCGAACCGACCACAAGCTCACAGATGTGACTAGCGTCCATTATTTTTATATGTCCAAATCTGACATCCGGCATAGATGAACGACACAGTCACTAATGAAGAGATGAAAGTTTGTGTACCAGAAATCGTTGACGATACACAAACAAGAAAGAAATTGAAAAACCCCAGTCTATAAGCGGGACAGCAAACAAAATTGGGTAATGCATGGGCAATACTAGTAGAAAACATGGTGTGTGATAGAATGGTTTTTATAGAGTACGAGGAAGGCACTTGGCTGCACCGAAAGATAGCTAGAGTGAATTAAAGACCGGATTTAGCTTTATGTCATGTTTTGTTGCACGTCTCCCTCCTAGGTTGTCCCAGGTAGACACTAGAGTGTGGTTCCGACTTACGCAACGCACGGGTCCAAGATACCTCTTAAGGAAACAATGGTTGACACTCGGACACGTCAAACAGAATGTCCGATTTGTTAGTTGGATCACCTGAACAGCTGAGACACTGACATAGCTGGATCAATCATCGAGGGAACAAAGCACTTGATCTAGACAATCTTCTAACAGCATTGGTAAAGAACAGCGGCGACTCATTGGTAAATGCCTTGGTTGGCCTGTGTGACACTATTTGGATCAAGAAAGAAGTGTCATCATGCCTTGGTATCAGTCGTGTCCTAGCTAACTAAACTACCTACACGCATTATGCCCAGGCGACTCCCAAATCCCCATGAAGGTCGAATCAGTGAAAACCAGGCTGAGTTTCGTTACAGCAGAGGGTAGAATCGAACACATTCTCAGAAGTCACCATAAGTATAAACGTCCTATGATGGTAGTAGTTCGTCGTTCGCATGCGACGTCAGGGGCTTGGTCAGCTATGAAGGACCAAGCAGTGGCCTTGATGAAGACGGAGAGCATATCATAGTGCGTTACGAGACGAATTTCTTTGTTGTTCCCGTTGGAGTGCACCGCATAACAGACGTATTGGAAAAGCAGTGTCGCATGATCACCGCGTCCCAACCGGCTGCTCACTGGCAAA